AGCTGACTGTAGTTTTTGTGTGTCATGAATATTTGGAAAAATTCTAAATTCACTATTCATGTTCTTCCACCGCAGGTGAACCTCCACAAACTTCCCTGATACAAGACACGCATCTTCACTAGTATTTAAATAGTAAGTCTAAGCCAAAACTCATATATTCTCCACTTGCACAGTGATGTAAAGGCTGAAATATTTTACAGGACAGAAGATTAGGAACTGTACATACTTAGGGCCAGAGGACAGAAATATACTGATGTTTCAGAGCTGAAAGATGTATCAAGTAGTTTCTAGGCTTTATTTCCCAAATATATATTAAAGCAATTAACTGAATCCTCGGGAATTTCCCAGAGGCAGATTAAACTGTCTGTCTAGACAGCAAGGCCAAGAACACATTTCTTAATTTATTTCAGAAGTCTTACATACTGATTAAAAAAAAAGTTATTTTAAGCTAAAGAATAAATAAATTAGGTCACTCCCTTTATATATTGTTGAAAGGAAAATATAGTCAACATTTTTTCCACGCCTTCCACCAGAAAAAGCCCTTTCCTCTGTGTTTACATAAACAGTAAGGCAACAGTGGCTTCCTCAGACAACACCTCTATTTAATCATTAGAAAAGTAGGAAAAAAGATCATGTTTTACATAATTGAGACCTGCAGTCCATTTCAATTTTACAACTAAGTATGTAACTCTTGGGACAAAAAGAAAAAGGTGTCTCGTTACAGTTTATTTTATAACAGCCTGCAGACTTGATGTCTTCCCCAAAAAGAAGCTGGATTCTTCCTGAGAAGAATAGAACCAACATAATTTCAAGTTCAGTTCTCTTCTGTTTTTATTACTATTGATAAGTAAGACTACAATTCTGTCACAACCTACAAGACTACAATTTTGTCATGAATTAGAAATTCTAATCCAGTGAATCCCCTATTTCATAAAGAAAAGTCACATCACATGGCAAAGTCAAATCAAACCAGTATCTCTAATTCTTCATTCCCTTAGTATTGTTCCGATGTTGCAGCAAATTAATGTGCTAATGTAGCTCAACCAATGATTTTTGTTCCTGTGCAAAGCACGTAAGTACCACTGAGGTGAAAACAGCCACCGCAGTCTAATTTGAGAAGCAACTGAAAGAGCAGCCAAAGAGAATAAAATATCAGCGTTCAAGCATTGACATGATGTTCTGTACAAAACCAGTCCACGACATTCCAAGTGCATCCATAAAAACAGAAGATCCAATTAATTGCATCTACAATAAGAGGCAAGTAGGAAAAAAGCACCATAAAGAATGAGGTCATGAGGTCTTTTCAAAGAAAGACCAAAAAACCCCACATTTTTGCACTGCTTTACACTCCAGGCAATCCTGCTGTGAAAAGTCTGTTCAGAAAACATCAAGGTCGTATCTTGCTTGTATTAGCTAAGAAATACATATTTACTAAATATCTGGAAAGTTTTGAAGACTACCCGAAAGAACTGTTTAAAAATTGCCTTAGATTTAGCCTAGTTGTAGATAAGACAATAGATACTAACAACCACTGTATTTTAAACATTGCAGGGGTACCATGCAGTGGTTTTTTTTGGATGCCTCAGGAGAAACTGGGACAGGAAACCTGAAACTAAGTCTCTCTGACTGACTCACTGTTTAGATGTCCTGATTGTCCATCAGAGACAGTCAGGAAATGCTGGACACGGTTTAGAAACGTATCATTGCTTTAGGAAAAAACAAAACAGGAGAAGCCACACAGCTTTTTATAACGTTGCTGCAATACGTAAGGTTCTTAAACATGTTCAAGAAGGTCATGTCATAGTCTTATTTACAAGAAAATCAAGCAAAAGCTGTTCAAAATGAATACAGTGGTGATTGCAAGCCTCCCAATACTGCAAATGTCTCTCATATGAGAGACAACTGCAAACCAGAAAGCTAGACGTAGATTAATTCTTCTGCTGAAGGCATACTTTGGAATCATGCATAAGATCTTGATCAAGTTACCTTTCAGCAAGGAATCAAAAGAAGCAATTTTAAAAGCTGACACTCAAGCCATGAGAAAAGATGTATGTTCATTTAAAGCAGCCCATTACCAAAGCTATTGAAACAAAATAAACAAGACCCACAGTAACAGCTGGGAGGTCACGAAGCTCCTCTCTTCCTTCTGTCCCAGCGTGCTCATTCTGGTAATGTTCAGACAGATCAGTGGGAGTTACACACACTTTCATACATAGTGGACAGATGAAGCCCTGTGAAATGTATATTTGTTTTTAAGAAACTAATAAAGACAAAAAAGCAGATCTGGAATCAAATGCTGTGCAAATTCTTACACTGAAAGTTCTCTAGCATCACCAAAAGCAAAGTTTGTTTTCCTCTGCAAAGACAGTTTTTGCAAGCCACCTATCAATCCCATGGAGAAGGCAAGAAGGAACAGTTATTAAGATCATGAAAAAAAACAAATCCAAACCACGCTTTAACAACTAGCACCACGCTGCATACTACTATCTGTTTTCCAGATGCTCTTGGTACCCCCTTCGTGTGACAGAGGAATAAGCTGCATAACAAGCTGTGAGTGGACCATTACAAGGCAAGATGTCAGATCCATCACACAGTTTCTAGTAAGGGTGTTCAGATGTTTCACGGAGAGAGACAAGGGTGGTGTGGTGAGACTGCAGAAACACCGCCGTAAATTAATAAGCAAGTCTGCAGGAGCAGGAGAGCTGGCTGCCATGCTCGCTTAGGGAAAAATATGCACCTTCCTCGGTAGAATTAAAAAAAAATATTCAGCATGCTCACCAGAGATTTACCAAAGCTGAAAGTTGTATCGGTTTCTGAACAGCAGCTTTACATCTTCAAGACACATGCTACATGCTTAAACACCTGAAACAACTTAAACAAGGTTAAGGCCCCTTCCCAAAAGGGTGTCTGTGGCAAACCTAACTAGCTATCGCAGCCAGGTTACACTCACGGAAGTGTAAGCACACTGGTGGACTCAACTGCAAGCACAGAGTATTTAGCAACCCTGTACTGCAGATGGGAGTTGCACTGGGACCTAAGCTATAAAGGTGAGATAGGCTCAAATGTTTCCTCCTTGGGCGGGTGGCACAGAGTATAAAAGATGTATCTAGACTTGATTACAGGTCTGTGTGATCTGAAGGGCTGATGTGGCCACAGACAGATTTTCACCTCTCCTTGAATTCAAACTGTTCCTTGCTCAGGCTTCCCCACTCCTTTTTTTTCACATTATAATTCTCAAAAACCAGGATTGATCTCAACTAAGCTTGAGGAGGTAAGAAACACGAGAATCTGCACAGATTTAATAATTATTCACCACTGGAATCTTACAGCAATACAAACTAGAAAATCTAAGCAAGAAACTGCAATGAAAATAAGTCAACTGGATTTCCGACTTTACATAATACTGGAGAACCGGGTGGGAACGTAACAATAAAACAGAGAGCAAACGTTCTGCAAAGTCTGACTACGGTGCTCCTGGAGAGAAGTTCTCAGAGAGACAACACCTCAGGCCAGCTGCGCAGCAAGAGGAAGACCAGCAGAAAGGCTCCAGTTGCGTGCCGTAACGCGTGAATCTCAGGAGAGTAAGAACCCATCACCAGCTTCAGAGCTCAGTTTCAAACAGATTTTGAAATCATACGCTAAGGAGAACACCCCACTTGTAACTAATGCAACACACAGTGGAATTATTGGCAACTAAAAGATATTTTTTCATGCTATACAGTTTCAACCAAAAGTGACACAGTAACCTTTGGTTTCGACCCAGTAGCAAGAAAGCCAAGGGTGCAACAGTGCAGGCACGCCACCACTTTGGAAGCTCCTCTTACATCAAGAAAATACCACTACAGTAGTATTGAGGTACCTTGTGACACCCACCAGCTGTACAGTCAGTGATATTGCACTTATGTGAACAGAATTGTGCAACTTTAGCCAAATTTTGGAAAGAAGCAATTATGTCATTGCATATTTTTATGCCTTAATTAACTACAAAAGTAATGCGATTTTAGTCTGCAATTTAAGAATATTTATTTGCTTCAGGGACAGTGTAAATATACATACAAACCAGATTTAGACTCACAAATGCGTGACTTGTAGAACATACAGTAAAATATTAAGGAATGATTATACTGACTGTAATAAGTCTTCAAGAAATAAGAAATAAGCAGATGCACAGATGTAAGGCAATTAGGATTTTAAACAGCACAGGGAAAATTTCTCTTACTTCTTATCATGGCAGACATAGGAGTACTTGAATCATCATACACTTTATCCAGTGTAAGAAAGGGCACTTTGCTCCCTTTAATGTTGTAATAGGAGTAATTAACCTTGCACTGCATTTGTAGGTAATCAGGCAACATTAGCACAAACTAGCTTCAACAGCCAGTGAAGTCAGTTTGCATTTTTCAGAGTTAATGTTTGACAACACTGTAAATCCAAAGCCATTGTAATATGGGATTGAAGCAAGAATTAACAACTTCTGCTGGCTAAGTATCGTGTACAGCACATAAAAAATGGACAGGATTTACAAGTGGTAGATTTATACACCAACACCAAACAAAAACCAACATGTATGATATTTCATGAGGAGGGGGAGGTTTCCAGTATATCTTATAGTTAAGCAGAAGCAAGGTCAAAACGGAGTATAAGGGTGATAAAATGTTAAGCCTCATTTTTCAGAACTCTCGTAAAAGATTTTACTAACAAGGAGTCTTAAGCTTATGTCTCGTTGCTTTTAAATTTAATAATTCATCTCTATGATTACAGGAAAGATTGCTTGTGACCATTTAGATAGATAAGCCTAATTAGCAGTTACATATAAATATGGCCTAGCCTTCCTTTTTTTACTTAAATAACAACCAGTTCCTAGAAGATTACACTTCTGAGTGTTTCTTTATTACAGCTGTTATATAGGTAGGGCACCAAAAGTTGCTCCCAACAGCTTCATGGAGCACAGAAACAGCACCCAAGATCTACAATCCCGTCCCATGTACAGTGCACAGTACCTCGGAGGAGCCTTCGTTGTTCACATCCACGGCATTTCCTGGTGTGGCAGATGAATCCGAATCTGAGCTCTGAGACCCACCTCTACCTGGAGTCTGAAAGAGAGGAGGAAGAGAAAAATGAGTGTCTACAGACTGTATCTGATAAAGCATGGTACGTATCCTATGCAAAAGCCTCTCTTCTACTTGCTGGAATACAGAAGAAATTTCCCTCTGCAAGTGTAATGAAGTGAACAAGCTGACAAGCTTTTCAGTGCAATACTTTAGCAAAAGCTTTTATCCAAGACTCTCCATGTGTTAAAGAACAAGCAGTCGCCAGAAGCAAAAGCCAGGATTTTAAGCCACTTCCTCTCATGAACACTCCACACAAAGAATTAGGCTAAACTCTGCCCTTATATCACTCACTGACATGAATTTATGCCTCTGTCAAATTGGAAAACATCTCAAAATGACAATCTAAACAGTTTCAGAAGTGGTAAACCAGTATCGTACTACTTGATAACTGGTCTACAATCTGAACAAGCCTTTAAGTACTTGAAAGACGGAAAACTAATGAGCGAGGACCCTGCTGATACAATATGCATGAAAGCAGTTATGCTGCCTTCATTTGCAAAAAAAAAAAAAAAAAAAAGAGAGATGTTGAAAGAGGGAATGCCTCCTTCATTTAAAAAAAAAAAAAAAAAAAACCACAACACAAAAGCCCCCAAGTGTCAAGCTTGTGGCAAAGTTAAACCATGTTAATCAGCAAGATATCCTATAAAAATATTTCCTATGAATCTGCTTGAAATCAAAACAACAGCATTTAATGGAAACTATAGATTTATAGAAAATAAGAAAACAAACTTGAAATACTACTTGATTCAAAACCTGGATAGATGGATCGCAATTAAAAATCCTTATTTGGCTCTGACTTTGATGTACTGATTTCTCGTACTCATCTCTACAACTCCACTGCTTGACCGATGGCAGAAGTTCACATTTTCAAAGCAAACATCAGGAAAGAAGTTATCTTAATACCGATACGAAATTCTAGTTTCAAGAAAGATTAAAACTTCATTAGCTACTTCCACAATGACAATTGCAAATGGGATGAAGCAATGCTGCTGCAGTATTTTAGCCCATCTGGAAATACTTGTAACGTTATGAAGCATTTTCTAATTTAATATAGGGAGACAGAGACTAAAGATACAGAATTTTAAATATATAGATTGAAATCTACAGAGAGGGGGACAAAAGCAGATAAACAGCTTTAGTTTCTAGGTCTTGGTGTCTCAAAAATCTTATTTTAGAATTTTTTTGCTCAAATATATCCTCTTTTCATTTTTTTCCGACAAATCAGCTATATAACCTTCTATATCTGCAGCACACAGGCCTTTCCATGCTTTGACATTAAGTGCATTTTCCTGCTTTGTTTTGCAAAGAACGTTCTATTTCCAACTTTCATAAAGATTATAGCCTTTTATCACTAATCAAATCAAAAAACATGCAATAAGAAGGTCAAGTTTACTGATTAAGGGCTTCTGTCCCAGTGACATCCAGTTCAATTTCAGAAAGGCTCTGAAGACTGGCCAAAGAGAAGCAAGGATGAGCAAAGCAGCAAGCTATCAGAGCTGGCGACAGCCAGTGAAGGAGAGGACCATCTCTCCTCATTGCAGCCTTCTCTGGGGTCATCAGTTGCATGATCAACATACACCAGTTTTCCTACTCCTGTGTCCTTTTTTCCTTTAGCTGGTTTATGTTTCTTCAGAAAATAAGAACACAATACTGTTTCCTTCTAGTACAGCATACAAAAGCAATAGGCAAGGTGACACAAGCTCTCCAAGTTCGTAACAGGAGAGGCAAAAAAGTGTGTAAGCAAAGAATATGATGCACTCGCAAAGCACATCAAAACGAAGGCATCAGTACTTCTCCTCCAGGTCACCAATACAGATAGTAAACAAGGCTCATCCCAGCATGGACCACGGGTGCACGCTCATCAGGCTTCCATATGACATCAAACTGGGAGGACCAGCTGATACACTCAAGGGCAGGGCTGCCCTTCAGAGGGACCTAGGCAGGCTGGAGGAATGGGTCAATGGGAACCTCATGCAACTCAACAGGGACAAATGTGGAGTCCTGCACCTGGGAAGCAAAAATCCCTGGCGGCAACACAGGCCACTCTGCTGAAAGAGACACAGGGCTGGTGTCAGAGAACAAGCCAAACAGGAGCCAGCAGTGTGCCCTGGCAGCGGAGAGGGCCACCAGCATCCTGGGTTGTATTAGCAGGAGCCCAGCCAACCAACCACGGGAAGCGATCATCCGCCACCAGCCAGCACCCATTGGACTGCATCAAGATACCACATCCAGTTTTGGCTCTCCCAGTCCAGGGAGGACACTGATAAATCAGACTGAGTACAGCAAAAGGCCACCAAGACTGCTGGGGCTGGAGCAGCTGCCCTGTGGAGAGAGGCTGAGGGAACAGGGCTAGCTCAGCCTGGAGCAGAGGCAGCTTTGGGACAGCCTAACAGCAGCCCCACCATCACCTGTGAGGAGGTCTTCAAAGAGCAGAAGCCAGGCTGCTCCCAGCAGTGCACAGTGGGAGGACAAGACACAAAAACAGAAACAAGAGAGGTTCCCACTCAACGTAGGGAAAAGCTTCTCCAGCGCGAGGCCAGGCCTGAGCAGCCTGCTCCCGACCTCCAAGCTGGTGCTGCTCGCAGGAGGAGCTCAGACTAGAGAGCTCCTGAGCTCCCTTCCTGCCCATATTGTTCTGTGATCGCCAAAGCGCTGCCCTGCGGAAACACACGTCCTGCAGGAGAGCTCCAAAATGCAAGTTTAGAACTCCATTGACGAAGATGTGGTTGGTGTGCCTGGACAGGCGGAGGAGTATTATCTAAAACAATTGGTAAGGTGTAGCCAAGTTTCTCAGTAAAACAGGTAAGTTAGAATATTACATCTAATGTCACAGTTTTCTTCAGTTTATATAGTTCAGAAGTTCCTTTGCATGCAATCTATAAACCCCAATCAATCACACAACCCAGAGGTAAAGCTCACTTGTGAATCCATTTTGTGCACGAAAAAAGAATCCAAAGAAAATGTATATACACGTATGTCTACACAAGGGAAGATGAAGACGTCAAGTGTCAAAGCTTTCTTCCATAAAGGAGCTGAACTTTCACAATATAGAATCATAAAATGGTTTGGGTTGGAAGGGACCTTAAAGAACATCTAGTTCCAACCCCCCTGCCATGGGCAGGGACACCTCCCACTAGACCAGGTTGCTCAAAGCCCCATCCAACCTGGCCTTGAACACTTCTAGGGATGGGGGGATCCACAGCTTCTCTGGGCAACCCATTCCAGTGCCTCACCACTCTCACAGCAGAGAATATCTTTCTTATATCTAATCTAAATCTACTCTCTTTCAGCTTTAAGCCATTATACCTTGTCCTATCACTACCTGCCCTTGTAAAAAGTCCCTCTTCAGCTTTCTTGTAGGTCCCTTCAGGTGCTGGAAGGCTGCTATAAGGTCTCCTCGCAGCTTTCTCTTCCTCGGGCTGAACAACCCCAACTCCCTCAGCCTTTTCTCACAGCAGAGGTGCTCCAGCCCTCGGATCATCTTCATGGCCCTCCTCTGGACCAGCTCCAACAGGTCCATGTCCTTCTCATGTTGGGGGCCCCAGAACTGGATGCAAGACTCCAGGTGGGGTCTCATGAGAGTGGAACAGAGGTGGGAGAATCACCTCCCTTGCCCTGCTGGTCAAAATGATCAGTTTCTTATTGAGAGGAATATTTTAAAAGTCTTTAGAAATCTGAACATGATAAAAAGGCTTTTGTATGGCACTTGGGTATGGTGGCTGTTCTGTTCAAGAAAGCCTGAGAACTTAGACACCTATCTGTCCCAGCACCTACATCCACAAGTAGAAATCAGACGTTTTGAAATGGAGAAACTATCAGCATTGATGGATATGCACTTCTTTACTAATGCTTTACAAGAAATGGAAGCCTTTTGTTCCACTCTTCAGCTCCAAAAACTGAAGAATGTGCCTTCACGTAGCCTTGGACAGAAAGACAAGCAGAGGGAGAACCTGAACAAAACTCGGTATCCTGGGCAACAGCAATAAGAGATGGTCCAACCATCTCCTTAGCTGGGCAGCATATACCTCCACTTCTGCAACACCTGTGCATATTCTTTCAGCATATTTAATGAATCATTCAGCCCCAAAACCAAGAATCTTTTGTGACAATTAACACAATATCTTCTTCACCTTATATTGTAACTTCTTACACAATGCTACTGTGCATTGTTAATCGCCCATCACATTTCACCCCAGAGCTGACTGCATTTCGCAATGAGATTTGCATATTAAGTTCTGCTAGTTCTAGTACTACAAATTGGAGATTATTACAACCTCCAGGATGAAAGCTCTTATATTAAAAGTACAGTGTTATTACTACGTGGTTGATTAAAGTATTTGCTTTATGAAACACTTCAGACATGCTATAATCACACACTAAAAGGCACCGCGTGGCATGTCTTACTACACGCAATATACAAGACAGAAATTATTAAACAGTACCTGGTAAAATACTTTTAACCTTTCAAAAAACAATGTGCTCTCTTTAAAAGACAAAGCGTAATTCCAAGCTAGAGTTAGAAAGCGTAGTACAAATAGGCAGCATTTTCTGGTGAGTGGCATGCACTGGGAAAAAGAGTGAGAAGGAAAGAGGTCATTAAGTAACTTTCAAGCCTGGGAAAAACACCACATAGCATCCATTTGTAAAGTAATACAGACCAGCAAGAAAAAATTCATACAAATTTGGAAGGATGTTATGGAAACAGAGACCATAAATGGAATTAACTTCTCTTTCAAGGCCGTAACACAATTTAACATCCTTCAACAGCCAAATAAAGAATGAGGGATTCGGAATATTTTTTAACTGATCGTTGCAAGATCAAATAGGTTCACACACATGTTTAAGTCAGGCTCCCAGACCACTGTTATATCAGGTCCCGTTAAAAATAAATAAATAAATAAATTTTAAAAATCACAACACATTGAAGAACTCGGACTTTGTGAAGTAAGGAAAGATTCAGAATGATGCTTCTTGTTTCCAGTTCAACTACACATGCGAGCAAAAGAATGACTTATGAATCCCATAGGAAAAGTAAATTTTCACACAGGCTTCTGTATACTTTTTTTTTTAAATTAACATTTGACCCTTAAAGGCATATCTGGAGTTCAAAGACTGATGCAAAATCAGTCCCTCACTCAGAGTATTTCCTTCCTAGTTGTCAAGAGTTAACGTTTGCTTACTTTGCAGAGAAGCATATGCTTCTCCTACGAGCACGAGAGTTGTAGAAGTAATATGCTAAACTTCATAATGTTGTTCTCTGTGTTTTCTCAAAACTGCAAGCTAATATAAAGAAACATCATTAACAACAAAAAGGACAACAACGATTGCAGCTTGTTTTCTGAAAAGGGATAGAAAATTATATAATGAATGAGTTGCGCTAATGCATTGAAACGACAGAGTATAAATATGGTTCACTACTGTGTCATTTTTGCATAGTCATTTATCTGTCTATAGCTACACTCCATTCAGCTATGATACTCTTTTCAGCAGTTTTAAATTCAGAATAAATTAAACCTTTGAAAAAATACATTAAGCCTTCAGAAAGTCTGAACAAATATGGATTTTCCCAGCACAGATTTAAATACTACAGAAGGGTACTACTGTCCAAACATATTAAGGTTCTGAGGCAACAAACATGACGCAAGAATGAGAAGGTAAGAAGCCCAAACAACTCTCAGTGCTAGAAACAGAGTAAAGCACAAAACAGAACAGCAATACTGTTTACTTCTAAAGAAGTGTGATGCTATTTTATGACTCCGTAAAATGAAAGGACTCCTGACTTCACAGGACATAAAGACCTTTCCTTCCCATCACAGCATGGGTTCCATGCGAGCAGAGCTTGTGCCCAGGAAGAGGCACACACTCTCCCTTCAACCCCAGAGGGATGGCACCGGCACAGCTGCAGCTCAGCATCCATCCGCATAAACATGCCATCTAGCAAGCCCTGCAATTACAAACATAAAAAGAAAACTATAGGTAAGGCGTGAGATGCAATGCACCCCAGACAAGTAAGCATCTCTGCTCCTGAGGCTGGAGTAAGAGAAAAGGCAACTGCACTACCCGAGCTACAGCAATGCCTGCAAAGCCCTGTTCTCCACCTGGACCCCAGCACCTCAAGACCAAGAACTCAAGTATTGTAAGAAACAGAGCGATAGGATCTTGCCACCCAACCACAGCACAACCGCCAACAGCCACAGACAGCCAGTTAAACACAAAGAATGAAGACAAAAACTAACTTAAACACTAGTCACGCTGCCCCAACAGATGGGTCCTGCGCTACAAAACACGAGCGATGGGAAGAAAGCTCGGAAGAAGGTGAAAGTAATCAGTTTTCCACCAGCTGAAAATAAAGGCCTCCTCCTTACGAAAAGTCTAGTTTTTTTTCAAGTCTTGATATCTTGCAAATGTAAGAAGCGAGCTCTGCTTTAACAGACCAGAGAGCCACTGTCCCACTAGTAGATGAACAACTGAGAGGGGACATAACAGCCCCAAAGGGCCTTCAGAGTTGATCACAACACAGAAAAAAGAGCGCTCTAAAGAATCCGTCGACAAAAATCAAAGCATCTGGGTAGGAAAGTTATGTCTTGGACACTCCCCGCAGATGTCTCTTGGGAAAGACTACCTTTTACTAGATCAGCATGATGAACAATGCACGAAATTGAAAAGTGGCAAGAATGAATGAAAAGGGGTTTTACGGTGCACACGTACAGAACAGATGGATCCTCGAGATGTCACACTGAAAACACACATAAAATTTAGAAACAGCTTGCAGGGAAAGGACCTAAAACAAGGACCTAGTTGAAGACATCATGGACATACTAACTTCAAAACCTAAATGAGCAATGTTCAGTAGCAACAAGTATATACTTCCTATTTTGAAAATATGCCACTCAAAGTCACCATGAAGATGCTTTTAGAAATAGAAAATACAACTGTGGAACAAATAAAGAGGTGCTCAGGGAACAGAAGAGGTATAAAAAAGAAAGACTTGATGTTTTAAAACCTCAGGAATCAGAATTTCAAATAGGTAATTAAAACTATAAACAGTATTTTTGCAGGTTTTGTCTTCCTCCTTTGCAGCTCAATGGCCAGTTGAGTTACAAAAAAAAAGGAATGTAATAAAGAATTTCTTTCTTTTTCAACATACTTTCATAACTCCAGTTATATCACCAATAACGACCAGCCATCCGGCCAGAAAGGATGGCATCACCTGTAATCAAATAACAAACCAAATACATATACAAAAAACTACATTTCAGTGACTGAACGGTGGGGGCTTTTTGCCAGCTGCATCGAAGATGCACAAGAAAAAGGTCAAGCGGAGGTTCCTTGGCCTTCAAGTTACTGCCTCAGAGATGTGCAAGGTTTTAATACTTATGCTCTTTATGAACAAATCTGACAGCAAGCTAAGGGTCACTATTAACACCGAAGTACGTTAGAAGTCTTTTTCACATTTTGCCAACCACAGATTGTAAGTCAAAAAGGTATGTATGAGGCTGTGCATATAATCGCTGCTTTTATGGCAGGCCTAAAGCCTGTTTAATAAGAGGTGGATGTTTAAAAGCACAGTTTTTTGCACCAATTAAAAGATTTATGTCTTTTAAAAACTTGGCATTTCTCTACTTATTTTTTGGGCAGGAAGAAGTCTGTTTCACCGTTGTTGGCAATTAGCTCTGCTGCAGTTCTGCGGTTTTGGGGAGCCACTGGGGAATAGTTATTTGTCTAAACTTTTCATAGAAGATGGCTGTTTGTAACACACAAAAACTTCTGCACTGACTTTAGACTTTTGTAGGAAGTGTTCAGCCGAACTTGTGGGCAAATTTCCTCCGGCGCTGCATCAAGCCTTTTCCCACACCATAGCAGCTTTCCTTGACAGCCTGTTGTTCCTCCGAATCAATAAACACCCCGTTCATCGCTGCCAACACTTGATTAGATCCGTACTACGTTTCCCCGCTTGTTAGCGGGGCTTCCCCTCCGACTTCAGGAAGGAAGCTCTTCCCTGCAAAGGCGCAGCTCCGAGCGGACCGAGAACGCTCTCCACCTGCTCAGGGCCCACCGGAGGCGTGCTCCAGGCCGAGGTGCTTTCTGCCCCCCGTTCGCTCTCCTGCTCGGAGCAAGGCTTCCCTGCGCGGCAGAGGGGCGGCGGACCTCCTCCCG